GGTCTCTGCCCCCTCCCCCCAGGCGGGCCACCAGCCTGGAGCTGCCCATGGCCATGCGCTTTCGCCACCTCAAGAAAACATCCAAAGAAGCTGTGGGGGTCTACAGGTACGTGAGGTCAGGGGGAGAGTGCCCCTTGGGTGGATGGCCTAGCACCCTGCTGTGGGGCTGCCTCCGTTCTGCCCCCTCCCCCTAAGCCCCCTCCCCACCTGCCCACAGGTCGGCCATCCATGGAAGGGGCCTGTTCTGCAAGCGCAACATCGACGCCGGGGAGATGGTCATCGAGTACTCGGGCATCGTCATTCGCTCCGTGCTGACTGACAAGCGGGAGAAGTTCTATGACGGGAAGGTGGGCTCCATCGACCCTGGGGATGACGGGCGGGCGTGTGCAGCGACAGAACCCTGAACCCCCCCCCCCCCCCAGGGCATCGGGTGCTACATGTTCCGCATGGACGACTTCGACGTGGTGGACGCTACCATGCACGGCAACGCGGCCCGCTTCATCAACCACTCGTGTGAGCCCAACTGCTTCTCGCGCGTCATCCACGTGGAGGGCCAGAAGCACATCGTCATCTTCGCCTTGCGCCGCATCCTGCGCGGGGAGGAGCTCACCTACGACTACAAGTTCCCCATCGAGGACGCCAGCAACAAGCTGCCCTGCAACTGCGGCGCCAAGCGCTGCCGGCGCTTCCTCAACTGAGCCTGGGGACCTCCCCCGCCCGCCCTGCTGACGTTCCCTAGTCTGGGGGCGGAGAGGCCTTTGCCGGTCGGCTCCCCCCAGTAGCTCTTCCCGTCCACATGCTCAGGGTGGACGTGGGCCACAGGTGACGGGAGCCTGCCTTCCCCCCTCCAGCCCACCTAGCAATTGCCCCTTTTCCTGCCCTGGGGGCCCAGGATGTAGATATTGTACAAAAGTTTCTAAATCCCTTCTTTTCTATGCACTTTTTTATTTAAGGGGAGGGGGGTCCCAGGTGGGAACCCCCCACAATAAAGTCTGTCGATGTTTGGAGATGTGGCCTTCCCATTTGTCTGATGCCCGGGCACCCGCACCCACATCAGCTGCAGCTTCAGCAGCTCGGTGGGGGCACGGTGAGCTCACTGTCGGCTTTAGGGCACAGCCCCACGTGGCTTGAGTAAGAGTGCCACCTTGGAAAAGAAGATCATTACTTAGCACCCCCTTTGCTAGTCTGGGTTGACTGGAGAAATGTATAGACACTCGTGTATAAGAGTTTTATATATATATATATAAAAAAAAAGAGTTTTATATAAAAGAGCAATTGTATATTGAGAAAACAGCCCAGTCCAGATCAAGTCCTTAAATCCATTAGCCCATATGGCCAATACCAATCTATAAATTCCTCTTCAGACTCAACACAGGCAATGACGCAGCACGCAGGAAGACCACAGGCCAGTGGGTGGAAAGTCTTGTGGACGCAGTGGTGGTGGAAGCATCCTCAGCACTGGCGCGGGTCTCCACCCGAATAGCTCCATGTGGCTTGTCAACAGGAATGTCTCTCAGGGAGAGTGTATCCCGCCTCCCGGGAGGAAGACAGGAGTTCCCAGAATCCTTAAAAGGCCATGCCCACACACAGGCCTCATTGGCTATGACCTGATTGTCAGGCTGGACTCCTCTCCTTTGCAAATTGACAGATTATGTGACTGCCACACCCCCTTAGAAATAGACCCCATTTGTACTACAGCCCCCAATCCAGTCTGTTTGTGCGGCTGCCTACAGCATGGCATGTCCTCAGAAGGGCCTGGGGCCAGCGCTCCCACACATCCACGTGATGGGAATGGGTCCTATGTGCGTGTGCATGTGTGTGTGTGTGGGGGGGATGTTTGGGGGTGGTCACGGTTAGGATCCCACCCCAGGGAGGCATGTTCCAGGGACGCTTCATTGAGTGCTAGGCTGGGTTTGCCCCAGATCAGCTCAGCTTAGACAATACCTGCAAGCCATCTGCCCGTCCTAGTTGGGCCAGGTGGGCAGCAAATTGGCCCAGACAGGCAGTGAGTGGGTGTAGGTGGACCACACGGAGGGCAGCCCGGGGTCCGGCTCAGAGTCCAGGAGGCGAGACAGGCTGTAGCACTTGGGGGGGG